CAACCTTCCTTGAAGTTTCAGCCTCAACCCACAGAGGATCTCATGCGGGCTTCATTGGAGATGAAGTGACACCCATCCCCTCATGCGCATATACTTAACCAACAAGTCCAGACTGTTTGCTACCTCCTGCTTACTGAATCCAATCAGCATAACATCATCAATATACTGGACCAGTGTAATATTTTGTGGAAGAGTCAGGCAATCAAGATCCCTTTGAACCAAGTTATGGCACAGTGCTGGAGAGTTAATATATCATTGAGGCAGGACAGTAAAGGCATACTGTTGGCCTTGCCAGCTGAAAGCAAATTTCTTCTGGTGGTCCTTATGAACTGGTATCAAGAAGAAAGCATTTGCCAAATCAATAGCTGCATACCAAATACCAGGAGACATATTAATCTGCTTGAGTAAGGAAAGCACATCTGATACAGCAGCTGCATTTGGAGTCACTACTTAAGTTTTTGATAGTCAACTGTCATTCTCCATGACCCATCTGTCTTCTGCACAGGCCAAATAGGATAGTTAAAGGGAGATGTGGTGGGAATCACCACCCCTGCATCTTTCAAATCCTTGATGGTAGCACTATTTCTGCAGTCTCTCCAGGGATGTGATACTGTTTTTGGCTCACTATTTTCCCAGGCAGAGGCAATTCCAGTGGTTTCCATTTGGACTTTCCAACCATAATAGCCCTCACTCCACAGGTCAGGGAACCGATGTGGGGATTCTGCTAATTCCTAAGTATATCTATCCCAATTATACATTCTGGTACTGGGGAAATAACCATAGGATGAGTTTGGGTACCCACTGGACCCACTGTCAGTTGGACTTCAGCCAAAACTCCATTTGTCACCTGACCTCCATAAGCCCCTACTTTAACTGGAGGGCACAATGCTTTTTAGGATCTCCTGGAATCAGTGTCAACTCAGAACCAATATCCAATAGGCCACAAAATGTCTCATTATTTCCTTTTCCCCAGTGTGCAGTTACTCTAGTAAAAGGCCGCAGGTCCCTCTCGGGGAAGGATGTGTGAGAGGTGAACAGCATAACTCTATGGTACTGTGACAAAGTCCTTTCTCAAGGGCACCTGGACTTCCCCTCATTCAAGGGGTTCTGGGTCTGTAAACTGTCTCAAGTCTGGAAATTGGTCGACTGAGCGAGATTGACTATTCCTACGATCCAATACTGACTTCCTGTCATTCATCCAAGAGCTTTTCTGCTTATACAGATTAAATAAAAAGTTAGTAGGCTTCTTATGTATGTGGTCCCTGGAAACACCATGATTGATTAGCCAATACCTCAGGTCCATTTGAGTCATGCCAAAATAGGTATTGTTTTGCCTTTGCTGCCCGTTATGGTAAATACGCTCACCTTGTCTTTGGTAATTCAGTACTGCCACCTGACCCCTACTCCAAGGTCCTGTTACACCTATTATATTTACATTTAATTTATGCAATTGAGCAGCAGCATCTCCAACTGTAAGATTCAGCATAAGGAAAAGAGCAAAACAAAGCTCTTCAAACATTCTGGTGTCTCAGTACCTTCCATCTTATAAAATCAGTAAAATGCATGTCCTCTGGGCCCTCCCATTGTGGAGGATTTGGTGTTGCACTGTGAATCCACTTGAGCAGACCAATTTGCATGAGCCTTACAATCCCTTCATCTGTAGGACCCCCAGACTGGGGTACCCTATGTTCTCAGGAGGTCACACCCCAATAACTCAATTCTGGTGTCTCAGTACCTTCCATCTTATAAAATCAGTAAAATGCATGTCCTCTGGGCCCTCCCATTGTGGAGGATTTGGTGTTGCACTGTGAATCCACTTGAGCAGACCAATTTGCATGAGCCTTACAATCCCTTCATCTGTAGGACCCCCAGACTGGGGTACCCTATGTTCTCAGGAGGTCACACCCCAATAACTCAGTCCTCAAACAGAAGATGCAATTGCAAGAGGATTTTATTACTACGTCTATATAGACGGCCTTCCACCTTGATCAAAAGGGGAAGTGCCGATTTAATTTAGAAGCTAGGTTATATAGACAGAAACCACAAACCACAAGCAGTAGGAGGGGCTGGTATCTAGGTCAGAGTAGGAGTACTCGGTTACATGGTTACAGCAGAAATGGGAGGGGGATTTTTCAGGTATTTTTCCAGCTTAAGGAAGCATAAAAGGTCATCTTTTCTTCTCTATAGTATAGTTAGAATTATTTTTCTTTTTGCTTCCTTGTACAGTTTCCCAGAGTATAGCCTGGGAAACTTAATTTCAGTTTACTTTAATCTGGGGGGCTTTGATTTAAAATTCTATCATTTCCCCCCTTTTTCTTGTGAGAAGATTTTAATCTTAAAATATACAGGTTTTCTGTTCTATTTAGAGCATGATATTGTTGAGTGAGTACCAAAGCCTGAGACACTGATAATCGGTTCCTAATGAATTGTAGCGATCTACTGAGTATACATGGTCCAAAAGTTAAAAGGAGGAGAATTATTAGGGGGCCTATTAGGGTGGACACTAAGGTAGTTAACCAGTAATAGTTCAAACCATCCTTGTTTGGATTCACGTTCTTTTTGTCTTTTGTCTAATCTCTGGCGGAGTTTAGTCATAGAATCTTTAATAACTCCAGAGTTATCAGCATAAAAGCAACATTCTTCTCCCAGGGCCACACAAAGTCCCCCCTCTTTAAGGAAAAGCAGATCCAGTCCTCTCCTGTTCTGCAACACTACTTCAGAGAGAGAGGTTAGAGATTTCTCTAGGAGGGTAATTGACTGTTCTAGTGCCTTAATGTCTTCATCTACAGCTTTTTGTAAGTCTGCATAATATTGAGGTCCTTGTAGTAAGGCTGCGGTTCCAGTTCCTATCCCCGCTGCCACTCCTGCTCCTAGAAGTATTGCTAGGGTTAGAGACACAGGCTCTCTTTTATATCTGCCTGGATGTTGCTTAAAAAACTGTTCTAAGGAATCTGCAGGGTGATAGAATACTCGGGGTAGAAGTTTAACCATAACACAATAGTCTTGAGAGGTATTAAGAACCATACTAGCTACACATAAAGCCCCCTGTGGAGGTAGGAGATAATAATTCCCCTCTCCTGGATGTACAGAAATAGTGGAGTTGCAAAGGTGGGCATGAGTTGGAGGTGGGTTTCCTAAACAGAGCCCAGATCCCGAGACTTCTGTGAGGGTTAGGGGATGGGGGGTCTCTCTATGACATTGGTCAGCTGAGGTGGTATTATTAAGTGTCCCTTGTGTAGCTATGCCTTCGTAATAAGGGGGTGCTGCTGCTAAACATAACCAACAAGATTCAGTCAGGTTGGGGTTTGTCTGTCTAATGGCCTCATACGCTCCTTGAATTAAATTGAACAGTCGATCCCCTGTGGGCGAAACTCTTCCACTCGTGGGGCTGGAAGTCTGTTTTGACAGGATATGGGTAGGGGAAGTGAGGTGCTGTGAGGTGTGATGCAGTGAAGTGAGGTGCTGTGAGGTGATTGAGGCTGGCAGAGGATTTGGGTAGCTGGGAATGGGATTTTGGATAGGTAAGACGGGGTTGGGGCCTATAGCTACTGGATGGGAGGAGATGTCTCTCTTAATAGTAAACAAGAGGCCAGGATCTGTCCCATCCTTATATATTCTAATTCCCCAGGAATGTCCCTTATCCCTATCTATAACATTCCTTCCTGCTGCTGTGAATTCTACCCAGAGGGAGTGGCACCATTTACCTTGACAGTCCTGATTAGGAACATTTGGAATCTTATGGGAATAATTTGCTTTTACAGTGATATAATCCCAGGATGAGGATGGGGACTACCCGGTTTCCCCATTGTTTCACATCCCCAGTTTTCACAATAAAAATAGTTTCTTCCTCCACATTGGGAATCGAGCCGCCTATCTCGATGGTTACCTGGGCAAATATAGAAGGTTAACAGGTGCAACCTGGTTCATTTTTGTTGTTCACGACACCCTCCCCATGCTAATTGGGGCCCTCCAAACACTTGCTGGTACCCCAGACTGGGGGAAGCTTCCGGGCTGGATATTTTATCAGGATTGGTGAAGTCTGGTATGTCCCAGGGCGCTGGTGCTCCTAAAGCTAATTTACATAAGTCTGGATACAGTATAGGCCACCAGGTACCCTTAGGTGCCATCTTATGGGTTTCAAACACTATAATACCCATTTGATTAATTACTTGCCAGGTGGTCAGCACAGGGAGATGGGGATTTCCATAACTGGGGACAAGCCTATAAACAAATAGAATTATTAGGAATTTCTGGAGAGTCTTATTTTTAGAGGGTTGGATGTTCTGTGTAGATGTCATTTTCCAGTGTCCTCCTGAGTCGGAGCTCTCTTGACGTGGGAAGTGTGAATCCAAGCTGAGATTCCGTCCACTTTGAGGGCCGTAGGAGTAGTCAGGAGAACTGTGTAGGGTCCTTTCTACCGTGGTTCAAGGGTTTTCACGTTGTGTCTTCTCACGTACACCTGATCTCCAATTTGATAGGAATGAGGCAGGAATGAGGCATTTGTGGACCACCATGCCAGTAAACTGCAGCCAAGGGCCTCCAAACCTGGTTCTGGATGATCTGGAGGGCTTGGAGCCTTGTTTTTAAGCTGGGGTTATCAAAAGAAGAGGGCAAGGGGGACAAGGTTACATCGAGTACAGGGGGTGGTCCTCCAAAAAGGATTTCATAGGGGTTAAGCCATGTATAGCAGGACTGTTTCCAGCCTGAAATAAGGCTAGAGGTAGGAGTTGTACCCAGTCTTTAGTGACAGTCTCTAGAGCTAATTTGGTTAAGGTCTCTTTAATGGTTCTGTTCATTCTTTCTACCTGACCTGAACTTTGGGGTCTGTAAGCACAGTGCAATTTCCAATTAATCCCCAATGCTTTGGCCATTCCCTGACTTACCTGGGAGACGAAGGCTGGACCATTATCGGATCCAATTACCTTGGGCAGTCCAAATCGAGGGAAGATTTCTTTAATCAGCTTCTTTACCACAGTCTGGGCTGTTTCCTTTCTGGTGGGGAAAGCTTCAACCCACCCTGAAAAAGTGTCTATAAACTCTAAAAGATATTTATAACCATATTTTCCTGGAAGTACTTCAGTGAAATCTACTTCCCAGTTAGTCCCTGGTCGTGTCCCTCTTTCTCTCTTGCCAGATAGGACCTTTGACCTAGTTGCATTTACCAGGGGACATGAGACACAATCTCCCACTACCTTTTGAACTAGTTGATTAAGGTCTGGGAAATAATAGATTTGTTCTTCTCTTTTTAGTAATGTCTTTAGTTTCTTGTGTCGTAAGTTTGTCCATTGGTGGAGTTGGGAGACTAACTCGAGGGCCACCTTTCAGGGCAGTATGATCCGATTCTGATATTCCCACATTTTAGATTCTGGGTCCAAAGTAGCATTGAGCCTCCGGACGAGTTCCAGATCCTGTTCAGTGTAGGTGAAAAGAGAATCCCCCCCCTTTGTTTGTGCTTTAATTTCAGCTTATAGGTCCGACTGGGTGTAGAAAATACAGGTACCTTCTGCTGCCTGGTGAGCAGCTTCATCTGCCATCCGATTGCCTCGAGCAATCGGCCCCTGGTCTCACTGACGTCCAGGGCAATGGATTATGCTGACCTTTTCAGGCAAGTACAAGGCTTGTAGAAGGGCCACTATTGTTTCTTTGTTTTTGATGTCCTTACCAGCTGAGGTGAGGAGTCCCCGCCTCCGATAAATTTCCCCATGTATATGGGCAGTGGCAAATGCATAGTGACTGTTGGTGTAAATGTTGACCTTTTTGCCCTTTGCTAATTTTAGGGCCTGAGTTAGAGCTTCTAATTCAGCTCTCTGGGCTGATGTTCCAGCCGGCAGGGCTTGGGCCCAGGTTATCTTTTCTCCATCGACCACCGCCGCTCCCGCCTTACGCTCACCATCTCGTAGAAAGCTGCTCCCATCCGTATACCAAGTGGCATCTGCATCTGTTAGGGGCTGGTCAGTGAGGTCTTCTCTGGTCCCATGTGTCTCCACAAGTATTTGCTGGCAGTCATGAGGAATCTCAGTGCCTTTCTCAGTGGCTGGTAGCAGCGTGGCAGGGTTTAGGGTGGCAGGGCTACCAAACTTGATCTTTTCTGGATTTAATAGTAATGCCTGATAATGGGTCACCCTGGCATTTGACAGCCATCTGTCAGGGGGCTGTCTAATGATGGATTCCACCGCATGTGGTGTTATAATAGTTAGGGGCTGGCCCATGGTGAGTTTCTCTGAGTCTTTTACCAGGGATGCTATTGCCGCCATGGTTC